CTTCTAATTCTATATAGTAACCCCTTAGAAATTTTTATAAATGTGCCCTAAAATGTTGCAAAAATCGGTGGATATGTATTAAATATTTAATATTAATTATCGTCATTCTTTTACAAATAAAATAAAAATGACTTTTTCGATATATTACTGTATATAATAATAATTTTTAATGATTCACAGTCAAAAAATTATCTACTGTATTATATTAAATTTCGTGTTACCTACACTCTACCCTTAACTTGTATATAGCTTGATTATTTATGGCCTCAAAGGTTGTTGAAGCTAAATCAAAAGGATGTAATTATTTATATTATTTATTAAAAGCTTGATCATTTTAGAATTATTTTATTATAATTTATTTTAATGTGTGACATAAGAAAATGATCGTCACTGTAAAAAATTCATCCTTTCAGTTGTTATGAAAATCACATGACTACACTCTACCCTTAAAAAATTTAATCGCAAGATTTTTAAAAAATTTAATCATAAGATTTTTTTTTGTAATACTAAAAAATTTTCAATTTATTAGTTAAAGATTGACATAATCATGTGTATCAGTGATTATATATGATGCGTATTTATATAGTGGAACCAAAAAATATCAGTGATAGTGATTATACTATGAAAGTGATTGTATATGATGAAATTTAATATATAAAAATCAAACCAAAAAAGCTCTGTGATTATATATGAGTTGTGACTGTATAGGATGTGACTGTATAGGAGTCTGACTGTATATACACTCCCTGGACAAAAGTATCCAGACACCTGTTTTTACTAATTATACAAAAACGTGCATAATAACTACGCATAAAATTTTATCAAAATGTAGCTTAGGTTTTGATGAATATGCATGTAAATTTTGATACTCTCAAACGTCTAAAAAATTTTTAGTTAAAAAAATCTGAAACTTGACAAAAATGATGATGATCAACAAAATATTTATTTTGTGTGTTCAAAATATAAATAAATAAAAATGAAATAAAACTTAATATTAAAATAATATCAAGTTGGCCATTCATCGCTAGAAATGCATGTCTCAATCCTTCTAGACATGTTTTCTATTAATTTGTAGTAGGTTTCATATGGAGTTCGTTGACTACACTTCTTATAAAGCAAGCTTCCAGCTCGTTGGCATTTTTGGGGTATTATGTTCACTTATCTAATCGCCTCCCTAGTTCACTCCAAAGATGTTCAACTGGATTAAGATCTGAGGATTGCGAGGGTCAATTAGGTACCTTCATGAAGGCACAAAATTTTTCCGCTTCGTTTTTTTGCATTTTTACGTTTTTAAGATTAAAAAAAATTTTTGACAATCTTGTATATGAATAATAATAAGGGTAACAAATATAATGGTTTTATGAATATCAAAAGGCAATTGATTTTCTAGAAAAAGTTGTAATTGTGGTCGCAGTCCAAGAATTCCCAAGGAAGAGTTTGCGGAATTACAGGAATCCTTTCAAGCTCTTTCCAAGTCTGAACAAAACATATTTTTAATGGCACAGATTAAAGCAATGGATGATGGGTCAATAAGCACCAGAAGATGCTTTAAAAAGGAAATCAGATCTAATAAAAGAACTTTTGGGGTCATAATATACCACTCTGTCAAGTAACTTATCTCAATTTACTTTAAAAATATCAGAAATCTTTGGTCTTCTAGCAAGGGTTCATGGTAATATTAAAAGGATGCTTCAATGGAAAACCAAAATGATGATTGACAAAAGTGTTGCTGAGACTGTAATGAATTTTCTGTAAATAATGTTGAAATCCAATAGGTACATAGCAACATAGTGGGCTTTATCTGTGATTAAGGTTTCTGGTTGAAACTGCTTCTATTAGTAGCTGAAATTGCTCAAATACTTTGGGCAAAAATTATTTTTTTATAAGCCCAAACTACTTTTTGTTATTAGCCGAAATTGGGCAAATTATTTTAAAGTTGGTTCATATAGTTTTTTAATGTTCATACTTATAAAAAATGTTGAGAAGCCCAAATTGCCCAAACTAGTTTGGGCTTTGAGAAAACAGTTTGGACCAGAAACCTT